ACCCATATGGATGTAATAATCTCATGTGGCCCCAGACGTATGGGCAATGGCTGTGTCTTCTTACAACACAATCCTTTACCCCCTACACCCACTGCAGTCCTACACTTCCCGTCCATTGGTAAATCCCGTCCCTCAATTAACAGCAAACAACTCCAGCATCCAATAAACAGCCAATTTCCTTATCGCCCACCCCAACTAAAATACAACAGCTATCAAGTCATTTTCGAAAGAAAGGGGCTAAGAGGTGGGGGGTGGGCAGTTCTAGTTTTTTGCTAGGTTTTGAAGGGCCTCCTGCTGCTCAAGGGATAGATTTTTAATGCATTCCAGTAACCTCTGCTCCATCAGTGGGCCATTTGAAGGGCTTAAGTCCTGCCTACAGGCCGGTTTGCTGGAAGTTGCTTTCTTCTTAAAGGGGCACATTTTTGCCCAATGCCCCTCTCAGCCACAGTTGTGGCATCTTCGGGGGATCTATCAGGCGGACTGCCAGATGGAGCCACTACAATGTGCATAGTTCTTAATTTAGAGTCCATGTTTTGCTCAAGGTTATTAGCCTTCTGTACTATCTTTCTGAAGGATTCATGACTCGTTTCCCAATCTGGATGTGTAATATTGAGGATTTTAACTAATTCAGGTTTCAATCCTGCAACAAAGGCAGATTTGAAGGGCGTCAAAGTACTTTGGTGTAATTTATCTGCATTGTCAATGTTACCAGCCAGTCCCAAATATTCAATCCATATGGCTACAAAGTGCTCTGCATAGTCCTTCAATTCCTCATTGCCTTTTTGCTGATAGGCGGATATTTTACTCCAGTCATTTTTTGGTGGACCGTAGTCTTTCAACAGTTTTGAATCGCCTTCCATCCCTCGACCAGATTCTGCCCATCATCCTCTAATTCTTTGGTCACCTTCCTAGATAATCTCTGGCCAGTATTTCCTCCCAGCATAACGGACAACACTTGTGCTCCATCCATGGGGTCGAGACTGTATATATTTTTGAAGTTTTCCAACTCACTCCATGTCTTTCCACCACCGTTCTTGGGATGAGGAAGCTCCTTAGACCACCTTTTTACCAATTTTGGATTGGCCGGTTTGTATTCTACCCATTGGGCGTATTAGTATTTGATCTTCCCCATTTATCAGTTGTTTTCTTCCTTCTTCTGACTTCTAGTTGTACAGTTCTTAGATTAGGGGCAATGGTTGTATATCTTCATGGTCTGAATCACAGTCCTCAGAACTGTGTCTTTCAGTCTCAAATAGAGACCAAATCTTAGCAGCCAGTTAATCCGAAGATTATAGGTAGGAGGGGCATTTAGATACGGAGGTTCTGTTGGAGGGGGCGACTCTGCATGGGAATGAGGTTCCCACACTTTCTGGAGTTCAAGCTTTGTGGCTTTCAATTTGGCACAGACAGCTTTCATTTGGTCTTTTAAATTACTGATTTTATGGTCATGATTAGTTTTTTCAATGACTTTATGTCGTCTGATTTGTAGCATGACATACAATGACCAGCGAGTACGTTATTTACCTTTAAGTCGGGTACTTTTGCCCCAAACATATTTTATATCATCCAGGGACCATTGTCCTATGAAGCTTCCATATTTTCCCCAAATTTAATTAAGGCAGTAGGTAGATCAAACTGCTGTTCAATGTACCCCTTTAAATTTTACAGTGGGCAGGTCCAATCCTCCTTTAACAGTCGTAGGTTTCTGTGGGTCGGACATGGTGTTTGCTTTGGGAATAGTTTGAACTGATATGGACTCTTCCTAGGAAACTGTAGGGTTAAACCTGTTACTACCAACATCGGTAGTCTAACTATTGAGTTCAAATTAGGACTGTGTTCAGCGTGGGATTGCATCAGACGAGAAGATTTTGGGGTATCACTTTCACCCGGGAACTTTTAGAAGACAGGACTCCTTACCTCTGGGCACAGATTTAGGGATCTATTCCTCTTCAGTCCTGTTGCGATCCTGCCGACTACACCAGAATTATTGGGTTCAAGAATTGTTGGGTCCAAAGTTTTCATAACAAAGCACACAGGAGGCCACCGCGAATGGTTAGTTTTAAACTTTATTGTTGGTCTCTACTGCTTCCACCTGTCTGCACTACGCCAACTGCCCACCCAGGGCTTGCATTCTCACAATTTTAGACTCACTCCCACCCCCCTCAGTTTCCTCCAACCAATTCACTCCAGCACCAGGGTGCTTGCCATTTTAGTGACCAGCCCCTTCTCTTTCTAGAACCTTCTGTCTGTTAGTTTTCCACATGTGCCCAGTCTTTTACACTCTTATGGTTTCCCCTCCCCCACTTGACACACACACAAACACACACTGCTCCCCTCCATTTTAATTTGTGCAATATGCGTTCAGCTGCAGATATTTTGTTTTAAACCTAATTGTTTTAAACATAATCAAGCTTTCTCCCACAGCAGGGGAGTGAGCAGAGTTAGACAGGGGATATTAAAGTGTTGGCAATAAATGGGATAAGGCTGGGGATATTAAAGATTTTGGATAATGTGAGATTAGACTGTCGGGGATATTAAAGGGTTTGTGGAATGAGTGGAATTAGACTGTGGGATATTAAAGGGTTTGGATAGTGATTGGGATGAGGCTATGTGGGATATTAGACGCTTTGTGAATGAGTGGGATTTGATTTTTGGTGCATATTAAATGATTTGGAGTGTGAATGGGATTAGACTGGGAACATTAAATTGTCAGGGGAATGAATCAGATTAGTTTAGGGTGTTGTTAAAGGGTCAGGGAAATGAGCGGGATCAGACTTGATGGGTCAGTCAGATAAAACAATGGGATTTTAAAGATTTTGGGTAGTGAGTGAGATTAAACTGGGTGATATTAAAGGCTTTGGGGAGTGAGTGGGATTAGACTGTCAAAGTGTCAGAGTTTTTTTGAGCAGTGAGTAGGATCAGACTGGGATATTCAAGGTTTTTGTGTGTTGAATGAGACAGTGTGTGATATTAAATGGTCAGGGGAATGAGCTGGATTAGATGAGGAATATTGAAAGGGAATGAGTGGAGTTAGACTGAGGAATGTTAAAGGGTTTGGGAAGTGATTGGAATTAAACTGATGAATATTAAAGATCAGGAAATGAATGGATTAGACTAGGGAGTATTAAATAGTTTGGTGAGTGAGTGATTAGACTGGGGGATATTAAATTGTCGGGGGAATGAGTGAGATTAAGTTTGGTGGATATTAAAGTTTTTGAGGAAATGAGTGGGATTAGACTCGGAGATATTAAAGGTTTTGAGGAATGAGTAGGATTAGATTGTGTGTAATATTAACGGGTTTATCACAGAGTCCTACAGCACGGAGACAGGCCCTTTGATCCAAACAGGTCCGTGCCGACCAAAATGTCCATCCATGCTAACCCCATTTCCCTGCACTTGGCCCATATCCTTATCAACCTTTCCTATCCATATATTCATCTAAATGCCTTTTAAAGGTTGTTAATGTACTCGACTTAACCACTTCCGCTGGCAACTCATTCCATATGCGTACCACCCTCTGTAAAAAAGTTGCCCCTCAGGTTCCCATGTATTCTTTCCCCTCTTACTTTAAAATAATGTCCTCTGATCCTCGAATCCCCAACCCTGGGAAAAAGACTGAGTGCATTTGCCCTATCCACACCTCTAAGGATCTTACACACTTCTATAACATCCCCTCAGTCTCCTGTGCTCTGAAGGAAAAAGTCCTAGTTTGTCCAACTTCTCCCCATAACTTAGTCCCTTGAGTCCTGGCAACATTCTTGTAAATTTCTTCTGCACTCTTTCCAGTTTAACAACATGCTTCCGATAACAAGGTGACCAAAACTGAACACAGTACTTCAAGTAGAGATAACAAGGTGTAGAGCTGGATGAACACAGCAGGCCGAGCAGAAAGGCTGACATTTCAGGCCTAGATCCTGCTCTTCTGCTGCTTGCCTGCTGTGTTCATGCAGCTCTACACCTTGTTATCTCAGATTCTCCAGCATCTGCAGTTCCTACCATCTCTGAAACAGTACTCCAAGTGCTGCCTCACCAATGTCCTGTACAACTGCAACATTACTTCCCAACTTCTTTTTTCTGGACTGGTGAACGCCAGTGTGCCAAAGCCGCCTTCACTGCCCTGTCTACCTGTGACTCCACTTTCAAGGAATCGTGCATCTGAACTCCAAGGTCCCTCTCTTCCACTACACTCCTTCAGGCCCTACCATTCATCATGAAACTCCTACCTTTATTTGACTTTCCAAAATGCAACACCTCATATTTATCTATCTTAAATTCCATTTGCCATTTCTCAGCCCATTTCCCCAGTTGATCAAGATCTTGCTGCAATTTCTGATAACCTTTCTCACTGTCCATGATGCTGCCTCTTTTAGTGTCATCCACACACTTACTAATCGTGCCTTGTACATTCTTATCCAAATCATTGATTTAGAAAACAAACAGCAATGGGCCCAGCACTGACCCCTGAGGCATGCCAGTAGTCACAGGGTTGGGGGAGTGAGTGAAGCTTCTGGGCACTAAAGGGTTCAGGAACGAACAAGATTAGACTGTAGGATATTAAAGCATTTGTGATGTGAGTGGGACTAGGTTGTGGGATATTAAAGAGTTTGGGAATGAAAAAGATTAGACTATGGGGATCTTAAAGTGTTTGCGGAGTGAGTGTAATTATATTGTGGGAGATATTAAACATTTTTTGGAGTGTGGGGAACATCAAATAGATTGGGGAATGAGTCGGATTTGACTCTGTAGAATAATAACTGATTGAGAATAATGAGACCAACCTCTCTCAGCTGTTTGTGAATGACTGACATGGTGTCTCTATATTCTCTCTCTGTCTCTCTCTCTCTTTCTCCACAGTGTATGTGGATAACCAAGATGGTCTCCCTCTCTCTTTTTATCTGTGTGCTGTGTGAAAGATTTAAATACCCTTTCTTTCTCTCTCTTTCTCTCTGTCACTCTGTGCTATCTATGAGTAATCCGTCATGTTTCTCTCGTCAGATTCTGGTGCTGTCTGCAGACTCTCCCTCTCCAGGCACAGTGTGATCAGTGTCAGCTCCAGCAGAATTGGAGAAGAGAGTGATTGGGATTCTGTTGAGTCGTTTCTAATAACATATCATTTTTGTAATCTCTGCCTGTTCCTTGAGAACACTGTTGATGTTACATCGAATCCACTGGGTGTTCACAGTGACATGAAGATTTATTTTGTCCTTGTATTTCTGTTTACACAGCATCACCTGAGTGAATCAAAAGGTAAAACTGATTTATTTCTGTATATTTAAAGCTACTAATACAGCATTTTTTCTAGAAAGGGTCTGCCTTAAAAAGCTTTGAGAATATGTAGGGGGTGGTGTTCCATGTATGGATGGTAATGGTAATGGGTTTACAGGTGCTGTCTAAGGAGCTTTGGTGATTTTCTGCAGCGCACCATGTACATGGTACACACTGCTGCTACTGAGTGTCAGTGGTGGAGGGAGTCGATGCTTGTCAATGTGGTGCCAGTCAAGTGGGGGCTGCTTTGTCTCGGATGGGGGTCAAGCTTTTGAATGTTGTTAAAGCTGCTCTAATCTGGGCCAGTGGGGAGTATTCCATCACACTCCTGACTTGTTCCTTGTAGATGGCGCTTTGCAGTTTTCTGATTGTTACCAGAAAATAAAAGGAAGGGACAGAATAGGTGAATGTGATTTTGCACCGTGAAAATATAAAAGTATTGGGCAATTTGACCACTGAACAAACTTAAAGGCTTTGAGTCTCAATGTATGAAGCATTCGGAGTAAAGCAGATGAACTGACAGCACAAATTGAAGTAAATGAATATGATCTCATTGCCATTATGGAAACATCATTACAAGGAGATCAAAATTGGGAAATGAAAATTGAGAGATGTTTGGCCTTTTGGAAAGACAGAAAGGATGAAAAGGTGATGCTGTAGCACTGTTAATAAGAAGTGAAGTGATGACAGTTGTGAGAGAAGATCTAGCCTTGAGGGATACAGAGTCTATGTGGGAGGAGGTAAAAACAGTAAGAGAAAGAAGACATTGATAGGAGTAGTGTACAGTCCCCAAATAGACACCACGCTGTAGGAGAGGCTACAAATCAACAAATAGTAGGAGCAGGTAACGAAATAGGGCTGAAATAACTGCACAGAGGCTGGTATCCCGTCACCAAGTCACCCTTTATTTACTTGTGCACAGTACACTGGCTGTGGCCAGTCAGATCAGAGTCAGTCCTCAACTGAGGAGATTCTGAATCTCCTGGTTATCTTGGTCAGCCAAGACTTCCCTAAGTGGCCCAAGTTAACAACCCATGTGTATTCCATGTGATCTAACCTTTTAACCAGTCCACCATGAGAAACCTTGTCGGATGCCTTACTGAAGTCCATATAAATCATGTCCACCACTCTACCCTTATCAATCCTCTTCGTCACCTTTCAAAAAACTTAGTCATTATAACCTCATTAAAAATCCCGCTACAGATTTCTTCAGTTCTCTAACAGCCGAATAAAGCTGATAGTGTCTCAGGATTAGAGGCGGTTTGGCGTTGTAATATTCCTTAACCAACTCTGTCAACTCTTGAAAGGTTTTAGTGTCTGGTGCCGCTGGGAAAGTTAAGCCCGTTATAATCGAAAATGCTACGGGTCCACACACAATCAGGAGTATTACTTTTTGCTTTTCAACTGCCCCAATGTTCATTTGCCCAGAAAAAGTATGGCCTTCTTTCCACAAACCGGGCCCAGTCTTTGCCAGCAGGTTTAAATGAGTCAAGCTTCCCAAATAGAGGCATGATGCCAGAAATGCTTACTCCAACTCCAAGATGACAGTTACAAGTGAATGTTCTTCAGGCAAGCCCTGTTTGCTCCCACCACCACTGCAATAACTGCACAGAGGATGGTATCATCTCCAAGTCACCGTTTATTTACTAATGCATAGTACACTGGCTGTGGCCAGGCAGCTCGGAGTGAATCCCTTGAACTGAGGAGATTCTAATCTCTTGGTTATATTTTCTTTAGACACAGTAAAAAAACAGCAGGTGTGCAAATAACTTTATTAACATACCATCACCAGGAAAGTCACCCATGTGACCGAAGCACCAAGCAGAGCTCCTATAGGGGCAATGCCTATGTGAAAGAAAAAGTGAGGGGGAGGGTAAGGATCAAATCAAAATAGAGTTTGTAGGGGAAACAAAGCACTCCACACCCCGCAGTGCCCACCTCTATCTCTTGGTTATATTGGTCAGCCAAGGTTTTCCTGATTGGCCCAGGTTAAGAAACCCAATCAAGAACCTCATAGCCAATGAGGTCCACCTTGTTCCAATCACTGCAAGGGTAATGGGTGACTTTAATCTCCATAAAGAGCGGCTATGAGAACAAATTCACAGTGTGCATTAAGGAAAGTCTCCTGGAGCAAGATGCCATGGCGCCAACCAGGGAGCATGTAACTTTGGATCTGGCAATGAGGCAAGTTTCATAAATGACCTCAGAGTAAAAAATCCCCTCGGAAGTAGTGATCATAACATGAAACAATTTAACATTCAGTTTGAGAATGAGAAACTTGGGTCAGAAGCAACTATGTTTAGACAATAAGACCATGAGGTTTAGTGACTAAATTAGGCTATTCGGTCCATTGGGTCTGCGCAGCCTTAAATCAATGATGATATGTTTCTCAACTTCATTCTGCTGCCTTCTTCTCATGACCCTTAATACCCTAACTAATCAAGAAACTATATATCACCATCTTAAAGACACTCAGTGACTTAGCGTTCTCAGTCTTCTGCAGTAATGAATTGCTCAGATTCACCACCCTCCAGCTAAAGAAATTCCTCCTCATCTCAGTTTCACAGGATCGTCCCTTCACTCTGAGGCTCTGCCCTCGGTTCCAAGTCTCTCCCACCAGTGGAAACACCTTCTCCACATCCACTCTATCCAGGTCTCTCGGAATTCTGTAGGTTTCAATCATTGTCCCCTTCATTCGTCTTTCTAAACTCCATCAAGAACAAACCCAGAGTCCTCAACCATTCCTCATATGACAAGCCCATCATTCCTGAGATCATTCTTGTGAACCTCCTCTGGACATCCCCACCTAGGTCAAGGTCCAAAATGACTCTCAATATTCTAATGCAGTCTGACCAGAACCTTATACAGCGTCAGCCTGCTTTCACGTAACTCTCTTGAAATGAATGCAGACATTGCATTTTCCTTCCAAACTACCAACTGAAGCTGCGTGTTAACCTTAAGAGAATCCTGAACTTGGACGCCCAAATCCTTTGTGTTTCAGATTAACTGAAGCCTTCTCCCATTTAGAAAATATTTTACACCACCATTCTTCCTACCAAAGTGCAAAATCTGATATTTTCCCATGAGATAACAAGGTGTAGAGCTGGATGAACACGGCAGGACAGGCAGCATCAGAGGAGCAGGAAAGCTGACATTTCTGAACCCTTCTTCAGAAAAATTCTCAGATTCTCCAGCATCGGCAGTTCCTACTAGTTCCCACTATCTCTGAGTGATATCTTCCCATGTTGTATTCCGTCTTCCACTTCTTTGCCCACTCTCCCAGCATGTTGTTTTGCAGCATCCCAGCTTCTTCAACACTACCGCCCCTCTATCTGTCATTGTGTCACCTGCAAACTTAGCAACAATGCCCTCAGTTCCTTCATGCAGATTGTGATTCTATAATGTGAATAGTTGTAGTCTCAACACTGACCACACTACGGAATTCCACTAGTCACCAACTGGCATCCTGAAAAAGGATGCTTTATCCCTACTATCTGCCTTCTGTCAGTCAGCCGATCCTCTATCCATGCCTCTAAAACTATGGGCTCCTATCTTATTTAACAGCCTCCTGTGTTGATCCTTGGCCAGGGCATTCTGGAAATCCAAATCGATCATGTCTCCTGGCTCTCCTTTGTCTGACTTGCTTGTTATCTCCTCAAAGAATTGTAACAGATTTGTCAGGCATGACATCCCCTTGACGAAGCTGTGCTGACTCCACCTTTTTTGCCATGCACTTCTGAGTACTCTGCAATCTCATCCTTAATAATGGACTTGAAAATCTTACCATTGACCAAGGTCAGGTTAACCAGCCTATAATTGCCAATATCTGCCTCTTTCCCTTGTTAAACAGCGGTGTTGCATTAACCATTTTCCAGTCCTCTGGGACCCTCCCTCGCATCAGTATTTATGGGATGTGGGGTCACTGGCTGGCCAGCATTTAAAGCCTGCCTATATTGAGAAGGTGGTGGTGAGCTGCCTTCTTGAACCTGCTGTGAGTTGACATACAATGCCATAAGGGAGCAAATTCCAGGATTTTATCCCAGCAAGAGTGAAGGGCTCTTGCAAAATATTCCAAGTCAGGATTGTGCGTGACTTTGAGGGGAACTTGGGCTGGTGGTGTTCTGATGTATCTGCTGCCCTTTTCTGTCAAGATGCAAATAGTCGTGGTTTTAGAAGTTGCAGTCTGAGGATCTTGTAGACAGTGCACATTGCTGCTACTGAACATTGGTAATGAGCGGAATTGATGCTTATGGATGTAATGCTGATCAAGCAGGCCACTTTGTCCTGGACAGTGTCAAACTTCTTCAGTCTTGCTGGAGCTGCCCCGCTCAAGCATTAGGGAGTATTTCCTGACACACCTAACAGATGATGGACAGGCTTTGGGAAATCAGGAGGTGGAGTATTTTCTGAAGTATTCCAAACCTTTAATCAGCCTCTGTTGTAGCCACTGTGTTTATGTGGTGAGTCCAGTTGGGTTTCTAATCAGTGGTAACCCCCAGGATGTTGATAGTGGGGGATTCAGTGACACAGTTGAATGCCAAAAGGCAGTGATTTGATTGTCTGTTATTGATGATGGTCATAGCCTGGCATTTGTATGTTACTTGCCACTTGTCAGCCCAAGCCTAGATATTGTCGAAATCTTGTTACATTTAAACATGGACTGCATCAGTATCTGAGGAGTTGTGAATGGTGCTGTAAGTTATCAACCATCCCCACTTCTGACCTTATGATGGAGGGAAGGTCATTGACAAAGCAGCTGAAGATGGTTAGGCCTAGGACACTATCCTGAGGAACTCCTGTAGAGATGTCCTAGAGTTGAGATGACTGTCGTCCAACAACCGCAACCATCTTTCTATGTGTCAGGTATGACTTCAACCAGTGGAGAGTTTTCCCTTTGATACCCATTGATTCCAGTTTTGCTAGGGCTCCTTTATGCAGCATTTGGAGGTCTTGAAGTCAAGGGCTGTCATTCTCACCTCACC